TCAGATGTAAAGCCCATTTGGCCCGAAGATTCTAACCGCCACAGTTAGTTGTATGGGCTCCTAATATGTTATACCTGCTCAATATGCAAGAGATTATCATTGGGCCCGTTTTATAAAGACTCCCACGAGGCCTATTCAACTCTGTATTTGCTGGAGAATTAAATCAAATGGGTAATATGAACCTTCCCCAAGGTGAGCAACACATTTTGTCTGTAGGCTGATACATTTATATGAAAAGAAAGAGTTAGTGAGTAAATGGGAGCACGCTGAGTAGCATATTTGTTAGATTTGAAAATAGCAATAAAATCATTTGCTCATGCACGTCCACATTTCAAATTCACCAGCAGGTACAGAGCAGTTGATCACAGTCTGTGATATCCTCACATACTGTAGGTGTTATAATAATATATCCCGTTATTTTTTTCTGCCTGTGATAAACTGAAGTAAATATTGTCTGCAGAGAAATGAGTCTGGGAGTCAGAAGTTGTATGCTGAAGAGTTCACGGTGCAGCTAACCTGTAGAATCAGAGGTGCCTTCCAGGTGTCAGAGATGTTTGTCTCTTTGCTTTGCTTTCACTTTTCGTCTCACTGTGTTTGTTCCACTGGAACACGTTCAAGTTGCTTTTTTTTAAAAAAATTCTGCCTCCAAAGTCACACACAGTTTATATTAAACGAGTTAAGAGCTTGTCCATCATAGTTGAATTGTCCTTTTCACTTCCCATAATACGATGTTACATTGAATATGGTGGTGTCTACAGCACAGTTTTCACTTACTGTGACATATATAAAAATGTTCTCCAATCAGTTTTTTTCAAGTATTATTCAAATATAAAATTCTAGTTCAGCAGTTATTCTTAATATTTATGGTTTCAGACTACAGTTTTAAGTTTTCTGACTTTGTTTTAATTAATTGCACAGATTCTCTGACAGTTCATCTACTCGTCTATAATTCGATTTTGTTACATTTTCATTAAAAGTGAAGATTTTTAAAGTCAATGTTAACATACCAGATGACATAAAGCTACACCAATATGATCACTTATATTTAGCATTAGGATTACATTTGCATGTATGGACTGCCCTCTTGAGGTCCATGATTACAACGTTCTAAATTAGTTTGTCATTTTGCTAATACAGCAGGATAAAAAAGTATTACCCAGCGACCATTTTACTGTACAACTTTTTTATAATCCAAGTTTATCAAAGAATGACAATAGCCGCTGGGTTATTCAGCCAAACAGCACTGACAGACTTTATGCAAACATTATGTCAGAAGATTGATATATCATTTAATTCTTTTTTCACTTGTAGAAGATAGTGTTATGTTCATGTCCCAGTGACATTTAAACTTCAATATGCATTTTCTGGCAGTATATTAAATCTATTATTAACATTGTCAATGCAGCCATTTATGTCGAGCATCATTCTCTCGCTCTTTCTCACTCTCCAGCTCGACTTAGGTAATAAAGTCATTGTTGAATTTTCCCATGGGAAAACAACTTTTATTCCACCACCGTGTAAGGAAAATTGTTCCGGCTGTGTGGACTGAAAAAGAACTGACTGATCTTGACAGAAACCTGGTCTGTCAGCCTGTCAGCGATCCTTAGAGCTGTTAAAAGAGAGAAAGCCCAAGACAATCAAAAGTATTACATCTGCCGATGCCCTCTTTTGAAAATCTCTTTCGATCCACAGGCAGTCTTGATAGATACAACAGTGGTGAAAACCTGGCTTTGACAGTTAAAGGACTCCAAATGTCCTGGGTCCCAGCCGGAGACTAACTACACTGAAAGTTTCCAGTTGAGGGTATCTTTAGGGGTGAAGGTAGGGGGGTGGGGGGTAGGCGGGGATGATGATTGCTGTATGTCTCCCCCCCTCTCACTGCTACCCTTAAGCGGATGCAAACACCAGGAAGGCCTGTCCATCACGCTGTCGTGTAAAGTGATCCAGGGCCAGCCTGCTCCTCTTCACTCTGTTTCTCCCAAGAGGGAGGCTTGAGTTTGCCTACTGGATTCAACCTGCTGTCTGGGGCTCAAAATAGCATTTCAGGAGACTAGTGAAATGTAAGCAAAGGAGACACTCTGACTGACACCTAGGATTTCTTTCTCCCTCCCTCTTACTTTTTTTCCCCCTCCAGCACAATTCCTTCTCTCACCTAGCTTATCCCTCATGGACAGGTTTATAAAGAGTTTTGACAAGTGAAAAGCCGCGCAAATGTTGGGAAGATCACAGTTGAGAGAAAAGAACACGCATTAAGTTAACAAGTTTGGCCATAATATGTAGAAGGTCATCATGCTCCTCTTCCCTTTAAAAACAACTTACGTCAGAATTTTAGCATTTTAGCTTCATGCAGGAGAAATAGCTCCATATATCTATTTAATCTCTCTATCTGCATGTATGTATATCTCCTATATTTGTAAAATGTTGTTCCACAACATCGCATTAGAATTTCTAAGGTGTCCTTCTAGTTACTACATTTGTACTCCTGCATGTACTTTGAGTCAAAAACACACTCCACCCCTTCATCCTGCGAAACATTATTGTCACTTACAAGGGAGAGAAAATGTAGATCATGCTTTGATCTTTTCTGTTTTTTACTTCAGCGAATCACATCCCATTTAAGGATGTAATTTAAACTTCATTATGCGCCGTGTGAGCTCAGCCTTGGACTGCCTGGCGATCATCACAGTAAAGCAATTGCCGCTCACTCTCAGAAAGATGCACACTTCAAAGTAAAGTGTGTCACAGTTACTAATGGGATATATCTCATCAATATTTTGGCATGATAGTGCAGCACTGCCTGTGCTATATGTTTAGAATGAATAACCCTCACACTGATCAATGTCAGCTATGTTTTTTTTTTTCTTTTTTTTTTCTGTCCAACTGTCTTTAATGAGTCTCGTGTGACTGCTTTATGAAATGTGTGTGAAAAAAAAAAAAAAAAAATCTGTCTGTACCGGCTGCACGGATGCCTTGCAATTGTTGCTGATTCAAAACCAGCTTAATTAAATTCTTATTTTTAATCAATTCCCCTTTGTCAGTAGGCCGAGAGCTTCTGTGGCTATGAATGTTGTTGCCTTGCCAATTTAGGGGACCCCTGTAGTGCAGTTTAGGTAGTCATACCTTTTCTACAGGATATTGTTTGACTCATGCAAATGGATGGAAATTTCATAAACTGGGAAAATATTACGGTTCCCAAAGAGCTATTTGCAGTCCCTTGTTACTGCAGGTATGTATGTATTTTCAGGACCAGCTGTGTGCTGTTTGTGTGATGCCTGTCACACACTTTTGCCATACTTGGTAGGAAATGGACGTTTGATATGGAGGCGGCTGCCTTATGAATACGAACCAATATCTTGAAGAAAATCATATGAGGTTAATAAACACTCAGGGGGGTTGGAGAACCTAAACACACAGTGGGATATGAGCAATGAAATTATATTAGTCGTTAAATATATTGCACCGGTATACACATGGGGGAGCCAGTATTATTATGAGAAGTAAACATAGCTGTGCTTCGGTGGCTTTACCCTGACACGTAACGTTGCACTCAAATCAATCTAAAGAGCAGTAATGTGATTCTATTGTTTAACTGCAAAAAAAATCAACTGAACACAGATACACTTTCATCATTTCCCTGCTTTACCAACACAGCGATGTCAAACGCACCGTGATTGTGGTGGGAATGATGGAATTGAATTTGAATGAAGACGCAAGTCAAAATGTGAGCTAGCAAACTGCATGAAGTAACTTTCTTAATAACTGACTAACTAACCTACCAATCAGCCGGTGGAGAGCAGTCAATATTTCATGCTAGCATATACTGACAATGAGTATGACTCCTTCATCATCTTCCAATGACCTACTTGGGTTTTGGCAACTGGGGTTCTTGCCCTTTGGCAAGCTTTTGCACATATAATACAGTTAAAGATTTTGTAGAACAACAGCATCAAATGAATTGGCACCCAACGCAACTTATTAATGAATAATGTTCAGTGATGGTAAACCCATCTGCACTACATTTTCAGTTACCATAGGCATCGTTCAGCACAAACAACGGAACTGGGTGCTGTTTAAATTTGATGTTGGAGAAAACACATTCGTCAGGATGTAATGAAGTTATGATTGAATTCCACTCATTTGAGTGATGACGGCTTTCACAATAAATAATTTCGCATTGTTGTCTCCTTCCACCACGGCTTCTCTAAACAGTACTCTTATCATACTGCATATGTTTACACACATGGGCGTTCATGAAATATTTGAGAGCTCAATTGTTTACATTCAGAGCAAATGAGGCTCTCCATTAATAGTTGCTGTCAAGCGGCACGACTGCAAGTGTGTGTCTGACTGTGTGTGCTCAAGCACCAATGCTCAGGGCTCAGTTAAGCTGCCTCCAAATCAGCTGAAGTCTGGATGCAAGGTGCAGTTGATGAAGACACCACCGCACCATATTGACTCACACTGACTCAGATATGAAAACAGTTTTTCTCTACCTCCCAGTCTTACCCCCCCCCCCCCCCCCCCCTCCCCCCCCCCCCCCCCCCCCCCATACACCATAGTTTGTGAACAAGTCTTGAAAGCAAACTATTTAGTCTTAACAGTGAACCCAACTGCTTTCATACCTCTCAATAAAAAATATGAAATGGTTCATTACAGCGATGAAATGGAGTGATGGAATACGCGAACTACTAACCTTTACGTGTCTGCTTGCTCAGTGGATGTCATCAAAGGTTAATTGTGTAAAACTGACGTTAATTTGCTCTCAAAGACATGGGAATGATGTGGGCTCATAACTAGTTAGGATGAATAGGTCAAGTTGAAAACTCTCCGTGAGGGAAAGTAGTACTAATTACAGCAGAACTTGAATGCCATGTAATTCTGTGCACTGACATTGTGTGTCTTTCTCTCTTCTTCTTCTTTTTTTTTTTCTCTCTCTGTCTCTCCTCTCTCTTGTGACAGAATTGCTGCTGTAAAAGTGAGGCTCCCATCCACCCTTGAGTATGGACTTAGCAAGTCAGGCTCATGTGCTGGTGGTCTTGCTCACCGGTGTGGTCTTGCTATGCTGGGCCCAGGAGAGGGACTATACAGTGAAGGAGGAGCAGCCAGAGAACGTCCGCATCGGCAACCTGCGGAAGGACCTGGACCTCAACCTAGACCCCAACATCAGGCTTTCCTCGCCGCTGCAGTTCAAGCCTGTGTATAAGACAGGCGACGTGCCTTTGGTGAGAGTGGAGGCCAACACGGGGGAGATCTTTACCACCAATCACAGAATCGACCGGGAGAAGCTGTGCTCAGGGGTCTTCGCTGAGAAACGTTGCTACTATGAGATCGAGGTGGCCGTGCTGCCTGACGAGATCTTCCGACTGGTCAAGATCCGCTTCCTGATCGAGGACGTGAATGACAACGCCCCTCTTTTCCAGTCCACTGTAATAAACATCTCCATCCCGGAGAACACGGCAATCAACACCCGATACCCGGTGCCCTCAGCATTTGACCCTGATGTAGGGATCAATGGGATCCAACATTATGAACTGGTCAAGGTGAGGATCACTCCTGTTTCATCTCTATCATGTATCAAATGAAATGCTTAGGTACTTTTCTTATTTTTTAAGAGTAGCCTCACTTGTCTTGATTTTAATACAATTAATTTTATTCAGGCCATTTCCCAAGTGCCTCTCTACAGTGCCTTTAATAAGGTAGCAAGTTCATTGGAAAAACTGCTGTTTTCAGTGTTCTCATACAAGAAAACTGCAACTACTTGGAGGAACATTCACAATCACCATTGCAAAAGTGTGTGGTTGGAACCACAGTGTTTGAGCTCTTGTTCAAAGTGGATTGGTTTGTCATTAACAGCGACTTTTCAATAGATAAGCCCTATAAAAATACATAAAAACGCATTTTTCTAAATCACTCTGACACAAACACTTTTGTCAGCCCATCTTTGAATGTCCATTTATTTCCTTAATGAATGTTGATGTGGTTTATCTAACATCAGGCCTGCTGCTGTCTCTGACTACATGCCAATAATAACTCCCATATATCCCTGTTTTTGTCAGCTGTCATTAAATAATAAATAACTAGAAACATCCAAATATCTGAAGCTGAATTTCTAAGTAGAGATTCCTAAAGACTCACTCCACTGAAACTGAAGTTGATAAGAGGCTATTACTCTACGTCTGCAATCCCATGTCTAAACTAAAAGCCATCTTGTACAAATTAATTGAGTTGAATAGTGAATGAGTGAAAGATTTTGATCGTGAAAGATATGGGCCTGAAGCCTTTTGTGATACTGGAACAAGCCTCGTCTTTTTTTTATGGACTTAATAGAATAAATAGCTTTAAAGAATAAATAGGCTTTGTGGGAATCCACGTACAGAACAATACAAAACAAACCAAAGGCTGTTGTAGCTATCTGCCAATCAATTACAATTGTATCAAACATAACTAAACCAATGGATGTCTGTAACGCAAGCAGAATTTTAGTCAGTGCACATATTATTGATGAAGCTCCAGCACATTGCTATGCCTGCAGCATCCCACCTGTCTACATCAGGTCTGAATAGTTAACGGTTTTTAATCACTGAGGTCTTACGTTATTTTCATTTGCCAGTTTTTCCACCCCATGTGTTTTTCATGTAATTTGGTCTAGATTCTGCATTAAAGCCTCCTCTGTGAACCTGCTCTCATGCTATAGTACTGTAGTACACCCATATAGGAAATTAATTTTGACTCTGCTTTGAAAATATGACCTACTTTTTTTTCATAAAGTGGAATATGTCATGAAGCCTACAGTGTTTTATACCAGCCATTAATATTTTCATATGCTTTATTTCATTATGAAGAACGCCGTAAAGAAGGGCAAGTTTTCACCATGTGCAGTAATATTGGAGAACACGCAGTAGAAAGTGCAGACACAGCGTATACTGCATGTCCAATTTCCAGCAACAGGTTACATGTGCTGAACATAGTAGATTAAAGCAAGTGAGAAGAAATGCACTGTATTATGCTAATAGGTGCCTCATGCAGAACAGGGAGAAGCTTTTCTTCATCATCTAATTGATTCACTATTAAACTGCAGTGCAATATTCTCTGTTGCCTAATGGAGTCGGCCCTAAATCCAGAAATGTAGGATAATATCATACAGTCTTCGTTTATAGTCTGCACAACACTCTACGCTTTGTGGATAGACGAATATCGGAGATGACATGAGCCCTTACAAATGAACTGTAATTAAAGAGGGAGATGCAAGCACTCTGGAGGAAAACCTAAACAAAATAAAGAAAGAAAGGTTACTGGAATTGAGAGCACGGTGCAAGACAGAAATGACAAGTCCATCTTGGCTTCTCGGATGACGTTAACATTGGGTTGGAATGAACAGAATCGTTGCTGTCCGTGTCTGCCTTGAATACCAATTTGCATTTTTAAAGAGTCTCCCCACTGCCAAGGCCTCTCCAGCGCAATGTCCTGAATTGTTCATGCCTGGAAAATCACCAGCCAAATGTTCTGCTCATTATGGTGATCATCTGCAATCATTTTCTTTGCCCTTTTCACAATATAAAGCTTTCTAAAATCCTTGCCTAGGCTGTGGTTGTATTATCTTTTGCAGGAAATTCCTCTTAGAGCATCCTTGGCAATGCATCCCTGATTCACTTCTTCTCATTATATTCTCATTGTACTCGAGATTAATTTCCTTGTGTTCCAGGTTCCATACAAGTAAAACAGGGAGAAGCATTAAAAGAGCCAGCAACATTTTCAACCTTTGGTATCTTTTATTTCCGAGGTGCAGTAGAAAGCCAAGGGGTTTAGTGGGGAGGGAATGTGCAAGCATTTCCTAGAATAGCTCTTGGCCGCTAAGCCACCCTTAGACTATCTTTGTATGGTCCTGTGAGATTTGTCTCAGAAGCTCCCTCAGAATGATAGTTTGCCCAGTTTTCTTGTGTTGTACGGGGCACGGTGCTGAAATTGCTACCATTGTGTAGCACAGTGAGCCACACTCAATGGTCTGCCACTCCACATGTAGCCATGCCTGAGTTGTCAACATACAGACCAAATAAAAGAAACATGGTAGCCTTTTCTTTTTTTCTTACAACTTTGTCCTTTTCTAACACTTAGGGGGACAACAGGTAATTTCATCCTACACAGTGCTCCTGCACCACACATAATGGCTGGCAATTACAGTTTGAGTGAAATTCTGCCATCAGTGTTGTGCAGTGGCGTGTTACGTCACCTGAACTGCAGAGAAGGCGTCCTAAGAAATGGTCAAGGTCAGAGAAAGCAATCACATGCATGGGTGGAGGAGGATCTCCCGTGAAAGCAGATCTGATCATGTTACATATTCACAGGATAACACTCAGAGGCTAACACGGAAACATGCGTAGGACTAAAGGAGAGTCCATTGGTGGTTTCGCTTTGGATCTTCATTGTTCACAAATACTGGCAACCTTTCTTATTCCAGTGATGTATGAGTTTGCAGCATCACACACTACATTAATCCAAGATGCATCTGTGTGAGCATCTTCAGACACATTTGAAGTGGGCGTCTTGTCCAAGTCATTTCGTGTAGATCAATGTTCTGCTGCTGGCTGGGCTATTCCTCACTGATAAACTACATGATGAAGTGGATGTCTGCATTTTGGTTGGGCAATCTGGAGGACTGTTGAACTTAACCTTTTGCCACCTTCCGAGGTTTTTCCTCTGGTATTTTGCAATCAACTTGGTTGCTACGTGTCTATCTGAAATATACCTAAAATTCTTGAGTGGATGGAGTGGTCTTTTTGCTGGTACTTCAAGTCTGAGTTTGAATAATTTTGCTCCCTAAACTGATTCTAACTTTGCATTTTGAGGATGCAAAATTTATTCAAGATCCATTCCCAAGTAGCAAGAGAAATTTGATTAATGCATTGCATGCTGCCTATAGGCAGTGAATAGGATTTCTGGGCAGAGAGCTCCCTGTCAAGCATTTCCAGTTTTCATTAGCATCCGATTTTGACACATTATCCTCTTCTAGTGGTTGACAAAAAAAAAAAAAAAAAAAAAAAAAAAAAACGACAAACAATTCCCAGCTTCTTTTGTCTTAATTATATGCATGAGATCATGGCCAGGGGCAAAGGGGAATGAGGGATGGAGAGAAAAAATGTGGGAGGAATGAGAGAGAGAGAGACAGAGAGAGTGAGTTTCTATCAGCATTATAAAGAGGTGCTATAGCTTGTGATGAATAGCCCTCCCCAGTTAGCCCTATCCATGGGCATCACTGTAACTATAGTCCTCCTGACATATTCACAGCCCAATCTAAGTCTCCTCTGAGTTTTAATAAGGTCATCAACTTGACTGAAAGATGCATCCACTGATAATCTGAGGCACTGTCTGCAGAACGGGGTTCACAGTCATCCATCCCTCATCATCAGCCACCTCTGCTTCTGTCAGTGTCCCTCAGTCATTTTCATTTAAATTAGCAAGCTCTGATTAGATTTTGTACCGTACTCGTTCCACATATATAGTACCCTGTTCCCTCTCTGATGACTGAGGGTACCTGTGACCCTGTAATGTGGGAATGAATGGTGAGTCATCATAGTTCAAGAAGACATTTACCTGTACAGTATATGTGTGGTGGAGGAGTGAGGCATGGTATTATTTGCACATTTAGCTGTTTAGAGAACTTTGTCCTTCTCACTCAGCCTTAGGGTCTCCAGTGAGTGATTCATGCTAGTATTTGGCCTTTTCTTAGCCTGCCCTAGATCTTATCACAATCCACCAGACTCATTCTGCATTCAGGAGGATGCACAGCCTGAGAGATAGCTCTCTTCAACTTATTGAAATGCGCTGAGCGTTGTCTTGTCAGTTGTAAAATTGTGTGAAACCAAGACAAAAGCATAGAGGAAATGCTAGCTCATAAATCATCGTGCAGCATTCCCTTTGACACATCCCTAACTCAACATCCAACTATTAACATCAGGCTTTGCCAAATATCAGTGTGCAGATATTCAGCTACTGTGCGGAATCTGTGAACTATTCAAACAACTGAGGATTGTGGAGCTCTGTGCGGATGGAGTAGTGCTTAGCAAAAGATCCCCCAGAATAGTGTCTTGGACCTTTCAGTCATGACAGAAATAGTTCAGCAATGTGCATAAAGATTCAGCACGGTTCATCCATAAGGCATTTTTCCTCTACATTTCCACACATACTTTTTTATGCCATGTCTGCTTACCCCTATATGACTTCTGCTTGCCAGAAGGATCACAAAATAAGGTCTGAAAGATCATTGCTGCAGTGTTGGCTGTTTTAAGTAGTTCTGTCAATCACTTGACATGTTGACAACATTCCCTCAGCAAGCAATTTTTCAGAGTACACAATAATTTACATGCTGCAGCTGCACGTTTTCTTGATTCGACTACAACACTGCGTTGGCACAAGAACGGGTCTAGATTCTGAAACCTACTGAGGACTCTTGTGCTCACAATTTGGTTGAAATGTTCCTCCCTTGAAGGGGGAGAATGTATATATCTTAATCTCATTTGATAGCTGTGCCTAGACAGAGTAATCTCTTCCAACATTATGTGCAGCATGAAGCTTATCTCTTTAAGTAGGATGCTTTTTCTTGTTTTACCATGAAACTGCTTCTGACTGAAAGAGCTTCAAAGGGCTTCTTTGTTTCATAATGTGCATGCAGCTCATTCATGGGCTTGATCTTCTTTTTTTCCTCCCCCTACTCTCTACTTCTCTCCTTTTCTGCCACTTGTCTCCCTCTTTCTCTCTCTTTCTCTCTCTCTCCCTCTCTATCTGTCTCTCCCTCTTCCTTAATTTCCTTCCTCTTATAATTTGAAAACGTGTGCGGATCCATACCATACTGCATCTGACACTGTAAATATTAGTGCTAGTTTTTTGGGGGTGGAAGGCAATTACTCGTAACAGCCAGTGCCAGTTCCTCTGGTTTCTCGTGGGGATTACTTATGCATTTGTTTTCATTTTCCTCCGGCTTTACTTTTGCCTAGATTTAGCCCTTCTTGAGCAAAAACCACTCTAATAGGCAGGATTTTTCACTCTCCTCCTCTTAATCTGTGGTGATCTGGTCTTGTAGTGTATATAAATGGGAGCTTATTGGTGTGTCTCCTTTTCCAGCTGTCTCTCTCTCCTGTAATGTCGTCGAAACGTTACGAGGCTGCTGGCGCTATTCTAACTTGTCACAAGATAGGAAGGTGGAGTGAAATCTTATTTTAGTGAAGGCAGAAGAAAACTGACGAGGAGCCAAATGAATCCCCTCAAGCTGTAGTTGTACATGCAATATACAATATGCACAATATACACTTATTAGTCACATTTATAAAAAGGATCACTTAACTGGAATTTGCAGTCTTTTTAGGGCGTGTATTGTGCAGTGTATGTAAGAAGTGACTGAAACTTTGAAACAAGCTGATGATTAGCATGTTTGAAAGTGCTTTTGATTTACGGGTACCCAACTGAGATGAGCTGAGCAGAGCCAAGAACCAGCTGCCTTGTTTAAGAATGTACCGGGCTGTTTAATTTGCTCTTGACATTCATCACTGCCTAAAAGCCTGATCCTAAGAAAGACTACAAATGAACCTGAGTAGCCTGAGGAAATATCTCGACAGGCTGTTTGGCTTTCTAAGACAACTGAAAAATCTACACTCTAAGAACAAAAACATGACCAAGACCACAGAATCTAGTACCATATCACTGCACCTTTCTTTGTTATTACCTAAGTGAAAATGTGATATTCCTACTTATGAAATTAATATGTCTGTCAAGTCTGTTTATAAAGAGAGGGCTTTTCTATTTGCCCAATTTATGAAACTCTCTCTCCTGAGACTCTGAGTATATGAGGAAAAACAACTCTTTCATAGTTTATGTAATAATCATAAGTTTTTGGAGAAAACGGATTCAAACTAACTGGAAATATGTTTTGTCTTTGCAGAGTGTCAGCGAGTTTGGCTTAGACATCATTGAGACTCCCGAAGGTGACAAGTGGCCACAGCTTATCGTTCAGCAGAACCTGGATCGCGAGCAGAAGGACACCTTCGTCATGAAGATAAAGGTGGAAGATGGTGGCAACCCTCCCAAGTCCAGCACTGCCATTCTGCAAGTCACCATCTCTGATGTCAATGACAATCGTCCCATCTTCAAGGACAGTGAGCTGGAGGTCACCGTGCCAGAGAACGCCCCCATGGGGACATCGGTTGCTCAGCTTCACGCCACGGACGCCGACCTGGGATCCAACGCACAGATCCACTTTGCCTTCAGCAACCAGATCTCTGCCTCGACCAAACGTCACTTTGCCATTGACAGCTCTACAGGAATGATCACTGTGAAGCAGCCACTGGACAGGGAAGTAACACCTGTTCATAAACTCATCGTCCTGGCCAGCGACGGCAGCTCCACCCCTTCCAGAGCAACAGTGATTGTTAATGTAACAGACGTTAATGACAATGTTCCCTCCATAGACACTCGCTACATTATCAACCTGGTTAATGGGACTGTTCTGCTGTCTGAGAATGCGCCCCTCAACACCAAAATAGCCCTAATTACTGTTACTGACAAGGATGCAGATCTTTATGGCAAAGTAGCTTGCTACACTGACCATGATGTTCCTTTCCGGTTGAAGCCTGTCTTTAATGATCAGTTCTTACTAGAGACAGCCGCCCCCCTAGATTATGAGACGACTCGAGAATATGCAATTAAGATAGTGGCCTCGGATAGGGGGACGCCTCCTTTGAACACTTCAGCTATGGTTTTAATTAAAATCAAGGATGAGAACGACAATGCACCCATCTTCCCCCAGCCGGAAATCCAACTTTCCATACCGGAGAACAATGACCCCTCTACACAGTTAATAAAAATCAGTGCCACTGACGCAGACAGCGGACATAATGCTGAGATTATTTATACTCTTGGCCCTGATGCACCTGATGGGTTTAACATAGACAGACGGTCAGGAATCCTCTCTGTTGGCAAACGACTGGACAGAGAGAAGCAGGAGAGGTACTCATTCACTGTCATAGCGAGGGACAACGGCTCCACATCCCTACAGAGCAATGTCACCGTCAGGCTAATCGTCCAGGACCTTAATGACAACAGCCCAGCTTTCACACACCCTGAGTACAACTTCTATGTGCCTGAGAACCTGCCTCTCTACGGAACTGTGGGCTTAATCACAGTGACGGACGCAGATGCGGGAGATAATGCTGTTATAACGCTGTCCATTTTGAACGGGAAAGATAATTTCATCATTGACCCTCAAACTGGGGTGATCAAACCCAATATCACATTTGATAGGGAGCAGCAAAGCTCCTACACATTTATGGTCAAGGCAGTCGACGGAGGGCAACCCCCAAGCTCCTCCTATGCCAAGGTCACTATCAATGTAGTCGACGTAAATGACAATCGCCCCGTGTTCGTCATCCCCTCCTCCAATTACTCATATGACCTAGTGCGAACCACCACCACCCCTGGCGCTGTGGTCACCAGAGTGTTTGCCATTGACAATGACACAGGTATGAATGCTGAGCTGCAGTACAGTATAATCAGCAGCATCATCATCACATCTAGGGTCTCCCCTCGAGGTCTCTTTTCCATCGACAAAACAACGGGTAACATAACCCTGCAGGAGAAGATAGTGGCAGCTGATCAGGGGCTGCATAGGCTTGTAGTAAAGGTCAAAGATCTAGGCCAGCCTGAGTCATTACATGCTATAGCACTGATTCACTTGTTTGTCAATGACACTGTGTCAAATGCTACTTTTATCCAAGAGCAGCTGCGAAAAAGCATGGAGACACCCCTGGACCGTAACATAGGGGACAGTGAGGTAACACCTCAAGCCAACGGATATGTGATTGTTGTCATAGCTATCATAGCAGGGACCATGACTGTCATCTTGGTGATATTTGTGACCGCCTTGGTGCGCTGCCGGCAGACACCCAGACACAAAGTGGTGCAAAAGGGCAAGCAGAGTGGCGAGTGGGTGTCACCCAACCAAGAGAACCGTCAGATCAAGAAAAAGAAGAAGAGGAAGAAGCGATCCCCCAAGAGCCTCCTCCTGAACTTTGTGACCATAGATGAATCTAAGCCTGACGACCCCACCCATGAGCATGTTAATGGCACACTGGATCTCCCTGTGGAGCTAGAGGAGCAAACCATGGGGAAGTACAACTGGGCCACCACGCCCACCACCTTCAAACCCGATAGCCCAGACTTAGCCAAGCATTACAAGTCCGCGTCCCCTCAACCTACATTTCAAATCAAACCGGAGACCCCAGTGGCCCCAAAGAAACACCATGTGATCCAGGAGCTCCCCTTGGACAACACGTTCGTGGTGGGCTGTGACTCACTCTCCAAGTGCTCATCGACTAGCTCCGACCCATACAGTGTCTCAGAGTGCAGCTGTCAGGGGGGATTCAAGACTGCAGGGCAAATCACCACCCGACAGGTAATTCATGACTTCCTTTTTAAACCCACCCACACTAGTCCCCACTCACACTCCCTTTGCTGTCCCATGGTAGGTGATGTGAAAGGGGGAGGGTGGCAGCATGGAGCCAGGGGATTTTCCCACACAGAACATGACCATGTCTACATGAATGTCATTTGCACTTAAGACTTGAAAAGGAAATGAAAAAATGACAGAGAGGAAACATAATTTGTCGCAATTAATGCAGCAAAATCTTTCACTGTACTGATTGTTATTAATTCATGTATTCATCCTCCTTCATAAGCAACCATAATTGCATAATCATTTACAAAATTACATGTGCAGGTTAATTTCATATTCAAAAGCTTGAGTAGTGGCAGCAGTGAAATTATGATGGCTAGCTATATTAAACTTCAGCGTGAGTGGTTGGTGGCAATGTAGCCTGATTTAGAAGAGCCTGGGATAGGCGGCGATGATTGAACTCTCTACTGATGCGTTTGAGGTCAAGGGCGAATGAAGCTGTGTGCTAATATATTTGATCGACACATTCAAACAAGCCATGAAAATAAGTAAATATGGCAGCCAGAGTGACAAGGGCTACTTACTTTATCAGGTATTCATTTTGGCAAAAAGTGTACAGGTAATAGCACAAAACAAAAAAAAGTGCTTTTGACATGTAAAAACAGCTTGATAAATAATCCCACTTTTTGTGGCTTCTGTCCTGAAAATATTAAGTGCTGCCTCAACTGTGCCAGTGAGGCTTTGTGGGAGAGAAGCTCATTTGAATGCCAAGGTACAGCAAAGGGCTTATGATTCCCTAAGAGATATGTGCCAAATGCGAAGTGCCCCAATAAATAAAAGCTGGCGAGGGAAATAAATGTAAATCAGAGGTAAGGAGAGGTGGCCTTGCTCAGTGCTGACAGCCAGAGCTGAGCGCCGTGGGGAAGACTGAGTACTGCTTTGGGCGGGGGAGGGGGTCACAGGGATCAAGGTGATGCAGAGTCTTGAGACCAATATACTTAAACACCAAGGGAGCAGTAGTCCATAAAAAAGCCTGCCAGGCCGACGTTGCATTTAGCCCATAAATGCTCCACTTTAATGACCCCAATTATTGTAATAAACGACATACGTAGATACACATCCTTTACATTCTTCAAATTAGCTCACATACGAGAGGATGCAATGACATCACAACAAGAGATTGCATCTGTGATCTGTTGTAGTTTGTGTTAGAGAGGACAGAAGAACACAATCATTGTATCGCTAGTGCATGACAGAGTACATACATGTTGATATTTAATCTGCTATCACCAGCACAGTGGAATGAATCAAGGCTGACTAGTTTACTCATAGTGAGATGTGTGTTGCCATAGTTTTCACCCAGTGTCAAACATCCCGTTGATTTTGCTGGCTTTTGCAACAAATTCCTTTTCATTTATTTATTTATATATTTATTTATTTTTATTTTGTTTCTTTTACGATTTTTGGGGGCTTTTGGTTGTTGCTTGGTGTCAGTGGCTTTCATTTGTGTTACTGTTTTGATCATAATTATCACAACTGCCATTCATCCAATTCTGGGTCAGTTTCATGATATTGCATCAATAATTGATTTTGTTTGATGAGGTGCTTGCTTTTGTTTGCGTCTAGCCTCATATTGCAGACAGTTTTCAGATCTTTGGCTCATTTCTGGCTTTTTTTGCTCCCAATACGCTTCTGTGTGACATCGAGCAAGCGTTAAAATTCCCCGTGGCATAGTTTTGGTAAATGACTGTTGATCCCATGAAGTATTGTGCTTCGGATAATTTATGAAGACACCCACACAGCGTTGATAGTCATTCCCTTCATCCACCTTTTATTTGAAACCCTGGTTAAAAGCTATGCTCTGCCATAGTACATTATACATAAGCCTACTACATGCCCTTGGTACCAAAGATTTAATTCATAATGTGTTTATACGACACTCTGACGAGTTGTCAGAATGATTTTCCCCTCTTACTGGTGGCGTCTGCTCTGAAATATGCAGAAATATTCAGTCTGTGTTCTACAATTCTGAATTATTATCTGTCATGAATTTCATGTATCAAGGATTTAAATTGATTTTCACTTATGCTGCTGATCAGAGTGGAGTATTTTTGTGCGAATAATTTAAAATCAATGAATACATGATTAGCAAACATCCTCCCAAATCATATGTTTCGCTATATCAGAGGATATGTGTGTATCTGATTATTTTCTAGGTACAGTTGGTCTTTGCTCTGAGAGAGGTCAGGATTAACACGGTCATACACACTCTCAGCATTTGAATATTATCAAGAAAGAAAATTGCCCTCATTGGTTCTACTCACCAACCATATCTTCAGTGATGTTAAGCTGATAATACACCAAAATTTTCTGTCCCCTTGAGCAATTGACAAGTGATGCCTCCCACTTTAGACATTAGATTTCCCACTAGTTTTAAGTGTGCTTATTTAAAGCCTGTGTCGTGGAAAAAAAAAAAGTAGCATGAAGCTCTGCCTGATGAGAGTTGGTGGCTGCAAAGGTTAATTAAATGCACTAAAGGGTTAATCACTCATAATACAGTATGATTAAAATCACTGTAATTAGGTTTCGAATGAGGCTGATAAGAAAGGAGAAAAAAGGCAGCCATCCTTAAAGATTATCAGTGATGCCACGTACTATCCATTGGGTGAGTCACATACTCAGGATCTGACGTGGTGATGACAATAGTTGACCAGCAGTCCTGTTTGTTGAGATTCGTTTATAATCTCCTCTCTGCTTGATTTCATCTTTATGCTTCTTTAAAGAAAATCTATTTTCAAAGTCTAAGGAAGAACACTTATAAACAGCACTTCTTAAAAAAAAAAAAAAAAAAAAAAGTGTTGTTGCTTTTATCAGAGGAGGTGACAAGAGAATATTTGAACACTCTAGAATTTGTAGAGATCAATTTCAAGTGTTCCTGTTAAAACAAAAGCTGCATTCGGTCTGTCAGTACCAGCTATTCGGTCTCTCCTGAGCCTGGACCTAATACCAGAAGTCCAAAAGCAAAGATCATAGGCAGGTTGTCGTGTTTTCCTTTTTGATTCATCAAAGTGACAGACAGCGCTTTAGTGCCTTTACAGTGATCTCTCGCTGCCCCGCACCCTCCCACACGAGTAAGGCAGCTGAAAATAAAACAAAGACAAAAAACCTACCCATGGAATAACAAGAAGAGATGATTATGGTTGAAGGTCACCAAAATGTTTTCAGGGGACTTTACAGATGTAGCCGATAAAGAGTAAAGCTTGTAAAAATACTTCAGAGACTACAGATTTGTGCCACCATATGGCTTCATTATACAGCGAGAGCTGTACTTGCAAATGCAAACCTCCTCCCTCTCCTCCCTTCTCTCCTCAGTTTTTACGCATCTCATCATTTTCTTTTAACCCCTACCCCATGATATTAGAGGTCAGTGTGCCTCCAGTGATGAGGAGCTCTTGTGAGAGTATGTGCTTTAGCAGAGGCAGATCAAACAAGGATCACCCTGCTTGAGTGATCTCAGACATCACCATGAATATGCAAGGAGTAAAAAGGCTAATACATTCTTTTGTTTGGCCCATAATTCTGGGGCCACGGAGCACAAAGGGTCGCTGCTTAACAAAACTAACCTCCTATGACTTAGTATTGGAGAAACTGCTGTTAGTGTCTTTGTAGTATCACATATGCATGCATTACAGTTCGATTAAATAACCTTTAGACCATAAGTGTTGTTTTTCCTTATTTATAAGGCAATTTAAGGTATTATCTTCATAAAAAAGATCATAATGTGATTGCGTTGGATAACGAGGGCAGCTGTGAACAAAATTTTTGCATATTGTCATTTATTTGTGTGGGTGAAGGAATGGGCCTTTCACACTAGCCACCCATGGTCTGATGATAAAGCGCTTGTGCTGACTCATAGTGGGTGCATAGCCAGGGGTAGAAGCCATGATGTTAAAAGGCTAACTAGGGTTGTTAATCAAGTCTGATGCTAGTCTTAAATCCTAGCAACTGATTATGGTTTTCTTTTTTATTTTATTCTCATTGTGTTGTTTTAGTTCTTTTTGGTTTTGTTTGTCTTTTTTCTTTGAATTTTATTTCTGTTGCGTCATTGCATCTGTAATCACTGTGCCTTGCTAATGTGAGCACTGTTAGGTCAGCTTCTTTCTGATTCAGACACTGGCAGATGTGTTGCTAACTTCCTGAGGAACAGCAAAATGTCATATTCTGTACATATCAGAGGACCCACTGGCAAGGGTCCGAAAGAAAGAGTGGGCCTAAATTGATCCAAATGGCTTTTTGAGGGGAAATGAAGAGTGCTGCACTAGTGTGGTGGGAGACAAAAAGACAAATCGGGAGTGATAATTGGATAAGATTGCATGCTCTGATAAGTACAGGAAAAATGCACAAACTTATGACACCTGTAGCATTCTTCAAGGAAACCTGACAAGATAATGACTTGATTGCCAGCCGTGCCTTGAAGAATGCTTTTTTTTTTTATCTTTCTACACTCTCTTCAGAGATTTTTTTATTCAGTGTTCAGCGTAGCCTCACACTGATAAGGCTACAGCTTAGGCTGCTCAGAGCTCGATGATATTGTAACTACAATCTCCCTATATCTGTCTGTCTCTCTATATTTCAGGAGACGGCACTGAAACCACCACACTATGGCACACTCTGTGGCACAGGTACAGCTCGCTCCCACAGGATTAAAATCAATCTCTAGCTCCCACTACCTAAAGAGAGAAAAAGAGAGAAAAGAGAGAGAGAGAGAGAGGGCAGAGGGAGGAAAGAAGGAAGGCGAGAACTGAAGAGGTGAAACAAGTACTTTACTGTCTCTACAGCCTCAAACCCCACCTCTTCATACAATCCAGAGAAAAGATGAACTTGGAGGGGGGAAAAAAATCTCAGAAAAAGAGAGACGCTTCATGTTGCCTGCCTGAAACTTGACAAAGCTCCTCCTGTGAATCTGTTGGAAGTTTGAAATGCTTTGAGTCCTATGCTAT